GGGAGAAGCTGGTGGAGAGAGTTGCTCTGCGGGTTTGCCTCACCCTGGACAGGGAGGGCTTCTCCTTGTTAGATTGCTGAGACATGGGAGAAGAGCCTACCTTCAAGGAAAAGGCATTTCCTCCAGAAATTGCATTTACTGTAAGGGGAAAAGAAAAGAGAAAAGAGTTAGATTGCTGAGACATGGGAGAAGAGCCTACCTTCAAGGAAAAGGCATTTCCTCCAGAAATTGCATTTACTGTAAGGGGAAAAGAAAAGAGAAAAGAAAAGAAAAGAAAAGAAAAAGTCAAGGCTAACTTATTTCCTCTCCCTTGTTCTCAGTGATCCCTTATAGGTCAGTGATAATTCCCATCAAAAAACTAAGCAATGCAATAACTACATCAAACCCATGGATTTGTGTATCAGGAGAACTGGGAGATACAGGTGTAATGCAGATTCCTAAAAACCACTTAGAAATGACGTTTGAGGTGAGTACAAGTTCTTTACATTTTACCTTTGAATTTGAAACATGCTTCCAAATACACGTTAATTTGGTGAGGGTTTATTGTCTTACAATCACAGCATTTCAGATTCTGTCCAGGTTTCCAAAGTTACTGTACATTCAAATATGAAAATAGCGCTGCCTGCACATCTTGTGCCAGTGGAAAGGTTCCTGTGAGCATGTACCACTTTTACCCACCGGCTTCACTGCTCTTTGTGTCCCAACCCAGGGCTCCTCACTTAGCCAATCTATTTCCACGTCTCACTTCCTCCCACATCTCCTTGCCTAATTTTCCCTTTCAGGGCTCATTTCCAACTCATTTCCCCTCCAGGTTTCTTTTTCCTTCTTTCAATCCATCTTTCCACTTACCACCACCCAGATCCCTTTCTACCTCTGCCTAGTCTCAAATTTCTTCTCCTCCATCTCCTTGCCTGGCACTGCTGTTTAGCTTCCAACCAGCCAGTTTAACCCCTGAGCTCTTCAGCTTCCCAGCTTCAGGTGCTAACTCCTGGCAAACCATTGAGCTGCCATCCCCATCAGGCTCTCTTCTCCGTGCTCGCTGTGGTTTCCTCTTTGACTACCCAGTGTTCCCTTCTGCTTTCCCACCCATCAGTTACAGATTGGCTCCGTGCCACCCCAAAGCAGCTGGTAGTGGGAATTGCAGGGAAAGCCCTGTCAGGCTCCTGTAGCTCTAGGCTGTACTGTATCCAGTAAGGAGTGATTTCGTAGGAAAATCTGCTACTAAAATTGAAGTTGCATCCACTGAGCGTATGCAGACTGATCTTCAACAACAGTAGTAAAAAAAACCCAACCAAAACTCCTTGACAAATGTAGGTAGAATTTGACAGAGAGAGAATATTTTTTTGAGGTACAATGGCTGCCTCTCATTCAGATACCAGTGTTTTGTAGAAAAGATCTCCAGGCTTCTAACAAGCAAAATAAGATATTTAGACATTTCTAAGGATTACGCTAACACTGTTCTAGAATACTCCTTTGGCTGCAGCTCTCATAAAATATCAACTTGGGTAGCCACCCACTATAGAAAATGTCAGCCCAATCTGCTTGTTTGGCAGTGTCAGAAGCAATGAAAACTAAAGTCTTGTAAGGGAAGTGTTTAGGTGACTTAAGAGATGCTGCTGCCAGCCCCACCTACAATTACATATTGCACTGGAATTCACAGTCCCTTGTTTTCCTTGTTCTGTCTCTTTGTGATCTTAAGCATCTCATGTTGGTGATTTTTTTCTTGCCCAACAATAAGCAAATTGATCTTTGAAAATAACAAAGGATCTAGAGACTGCCTCATAGTGTAGAGGGAGACTGCTTCATAGTGTAGAGGGAGTCAGCTGAAGGTCAGTATGCTCAAAATATTTTTGAGAAGCTGTTTGTACTGAAGATCTGTTTGTTCTACAAAAGCACACCTTTTTATCACCCTAGCTCAGAAATTTGTAATTAACACTTCTCAGAATTATTCAGAGTGAGTGTTTACAACAAAGAATATAATCTTTTCACCGGCTTCTAATAATTTTATTTCATGTTATTTCTTTTCTTCTCTCTTACAACAATTACTCTGCTTTTCAAAATGCACTCCATGTTTGATTGAAAATACTTGCTGTATAAATCAAAGGAAACTGAATAAAAGCATACATTTGAGACCATATGTGTGCATGTGGTGGGCGTGTGTGTTGTCTGTTGTTTTTTTTTAATGAAGTAAAAACTGTTATTCTTTTCAGTGCCAGAATTTAGGGAAGCTGACGACCGTTCAGATTGGTCATGACAACTCAGGGCTGCTAGCCAAGTGGCTGGTTGATTGTGTCATGGTCAGAAATGAAATAACAGGACACACGTACAAGTAAGCAACAAGTTTTAATTTTCTTTATCTGAAACTCCTACTTGTTAAATCTAGAGAAAGCAAGAAGGTGTTCATCTTCTCGGTTGATGCAGCAGTGTGGGCTGATTTGGGTACCCGATAGGGTTGGGTTGGTCTCCCCCACCCCCGATTCTCTCATTTCAGAAGGATGAGTTGAAGGCAAATAATCTGATAAATATTAAATGAGACTTGAATGCAGGATTTTTCCTTGCATCTCTCTGAGACAGGACAGACAGCATGGCTATTTTTGAAGTGATTCATATGTTTGTGTCTAATAATTAAATCTCGTGATTTAAAGTAGCGTGGTAAAATTGTGCACAAATGAACTCTTCATACTCCCAAGAGCTAGAATGATAGTTTAGAGCAAGTCTTTCATTTCTTTTTGTTTAAAAAAAAATTAAAATTTCTGACTACTATAACAAATGTACAGAAATTTGGATTACAAGAAAATAAAAGTTTTTGATAATTTCTTAATTTTCTATTGAGTACATACCTCTTGTGTAGAAATTATCTCCTAACTCATTGGTTTTACATAACATCTGGCTAAGCAGAGTTAATTTTTTTCTAAATGTAGACCTGGAAAACTATAATTCAGAGAGGTGAGATCCAAAGCTGAGGGTTGGCCACAGTGTATGGGGAAAGTAGAAGGATATGGGGTACAGGGACTGGGAGTATGGACATGTGCTTGGATTTCATTAGAACTGTGGATGGGATCAAAAAGCACAGCAATAAAATGTGAAGTGAAGTTTGCGTATGAGGAGATGTCACAGCTTCAGCCAGATGGGAACTGTGTAGGGAGTTAATTGTTTACCATCACAATATTTTTAAAGGCTAAATATTGGTTATGGTTGCAAGTTAAAAATAATCCAGCAGAAATAAAGAAGTGGCCCATAATTTATGTGTATAACACTTTCTGTTGTCCCTTGCTTTCATGCAAGATTTGCATATTTCCCTTTGCCTAAGGATGGAGGTGAATGTAGTTTTCTGGTTTGGTCCTGTCAGTTGTCGTGCAGGGGATGCTGCCTGCTGAGTTCTGATTTGTGAAAGGTTTCTGGCTATGGAGTATTCCCTGCCCGTTAGCAGTGTTTATGTGCGCTAGCTGGCCCTCTGGCTTTGAGATAAAGCTACACTACCTGTGTGGCTGACCTGTGCTTGTGCTGGCTGCATGGCAGGTTTCCCTGCGGGCGATGGCTGGGAAAGGGCGTTGATGATGGTAGCTTGGAGCGAATACTCATTGGAGAGCTGGTGTCCTCCACATCTGACGAAGAGCTGGGAAAGCAGTGCCGTACCCCACCCCAGCAGAAATCGCCTACCACGGCTCGACGGCTGAGCATCACTTCCCTTACAGGGAAGAACACCAGTAAGTCCTTTCCTTTCTCCCCAGGGCCCTCGAGAAGGGGACAGCGACTGTTGGGAAGTAAAGATGCTGTGAAAAGGAGAGCTCCTACTGAAGCATGCTTGGTGCAGAGGAACAGCTGAAAGCTGATGAGTTTTTCCTGCCCCAGTTTTTGTGTGGGACTTTAAGGGCCATGTGGGATATTCTCCACTAAAGCATATAGACGAGCTCAGTCTAGACCCTGTTCATAAATCTGCCCAGCTCCTGTAAAATTAGAGGATATGACTGCTGAAATGTCAAGTGAGGAAAGATTAGCCTCCAAGAGTAATGCAGCATCTAAAAGCCATTACAGAACCACTGCAGCTCTTCATATTAGTGCAGTCCGTGTTAGCTGGAGGAGTGAGCACCAGAGCTACTTGCAAAGCATTTCCTTAGGTCTAAGCACACTTAGGCCAAATAATTCATTTGTCTTGTGAGTTACATGAGGCTCTGTGTTTGACCTGCCGAAGACTGTGGAGGTCATAATGTACTAAAATGATACGGAATTACTCCATGCATCCAAAATAACAATTCTAGGACAGACTAATAGCAACCTACGCGTGTCTGAAAAAACTAGAAAGAACTCATAGAAGAACCATTAGAATTACTGAAACCTGGAAAACATTTGCTTAAAATGAGGTTTTAAAAGTTCATTCTGTTTTAATCAGAAAATGAGTGAGGAAATAGGCAATTTTCTGCAGGTAGCTGCAAAGGGAGGTGAGATGGTAGCAGGTGGAGGCATAGCATGATTCGGTAGCTGAGGCATTCAGCTAAACAAATTCAGAGCAGAAACATGGCATACGTTTTCACATTGAAGATAACTTACTCTTGGAACCATTAATAAGGAATATTCTCTGCTTGTGGCCCCTCACATTGGTAAAATGAGTAGACATTTCCCTAAAATAGATACTTGCTTTGGCTCAATAAAACGTTGTGGGTTCAAATCAGGAATTGATGACTGCTGGGTTTTCTGGCCTGTGTCAAGTAGAAGTGAGTCAAATGACTGGGCTACAACATTTCAGCCCAGGTTTCTTCATGTAAGGGTTGCTGTACTCTATGTGATGAGCAAGATGTGATTAACTCAAATAAAATATTTATCAGTCCAGGTCCTTGGGTTGTGCATTTTTCAGTAGGGTGATTTATTTGACTATTCCAGGGTTGTTCATCAGTTGCTTGTAATTAAGTCTCAGGTTTACCCAAGACAAATGATTGCCTGAACTCTGTTAAAGATACAGAATAACTCCTGCAGTTCAAGCTATGTCATCATGAGAATTTGATGAATGTTTAAAAGTTGGTATCTTCAGCTAGTATGCTCTCCATCATTTCACAGAGCCTAATGCAGGACAGATTCAAGAGGGAATTGGGGAAGCTGTGAACAATATTGTGAAACATTTTCACAAGCCAGAGAAAGAGGTACTTCCTACTTTTTATTACTTGCCTGATATCTGCAATGCATGTAAATATTTTTATAAACAGAAATGGAACTAAAATACCAGCGGAGAGTGTTAACCTTTACATTTGAAGCTTCCAGCATGCAAACAAGGCAAGTTGTACTTACAGATGCTCTTTCCCACAGAGAGGGAGCCTCACTATTCTGTTGTGTGGAGAAAATGGTCTGGTCGCAGCACTGGAGCAGGTCTTCCACCATGGATTCAAATCGGCTCGCATTTTTCATAAGAATGTCTTCATCTGGGATTTCATAGGTAAGCTGGCCTGTGATTTGGAGGCAGAAGGAGAAGAAAGATTAGGGCAAAATGACTACTCACATGGACCTCGGATTCTTATCAACTAGGGTGCCATTTGTTCCTGCCTAACACCTGCTCTAGGTTGCTTAAAGTCAGTGAGAACCAAGATGGAAGATGAGAAATACTAAACTACATATAAGGGATGACTGTGAATCTGTGCAGAAACTTAAGAGCATTTCAGGTGCTAGTCATTTATTCATAGGTGAATGTTCAAACAGCTGCTTTTCTACCCAGAAAGAAGGTAGGATGGAGGTTTGGGTAGATTAGCAATGTTAGGGAGAGAGATGGAAAAGGGCAGGGAGTGAAAGGTTTAGATTTCTAGTTAAGAGCACTCTCCTAACCACTTCACTGGTCTTCTGGTGATGCTTATCTGTAGGCCTATGTTGTGGTAATTTAAGGTGTTCTTACTCCCTTAAAACATCTCGAAAGTTGAGATATACTTACCCTGAGGGTAAATGCTTACTCAGAAAAGGTGAAAAAATCAAAGCTGATGGTATCACTTACAATGAAAGCATTGATGGGGGTTCTGGTTTGGGTCCTTGATGTTACCTAACTGTGTTAGACATCAGCCAGTCTGCTGACCACTGAGGTAGAGATCACCACCTACCTATGGTCTTCAGACTGAGAAGTCCATATATAAACTGTGCCATCACTCTCAGCAGGTTGTGTTTAAGGACTCACTTCTGTATCTTAAGTCACAATTGAAATGCTTCTGCTCACTGGGTTCTGATTTTCTCCCAACCACAGAGAAAGCTGTTGCTTATTTTGAAACCAGTGATCAGATTGGAGACAATGAGGAGGCCCTTTTGCTTCAGAGATCTTCATGCAAAACCTTCTGTCATTATGTGAATGCCATCAATACAGCTCCAAGGAACATTGGAAAGGACGGCAAATTCCAAATTCTGGTTTGCCTGGGGACAAGGTACCTAACTGCTCTTCGTTATACATGTCCTCTTGCATTAGACTAGAAGAATATTTTTACACTGTTGTTACTACCTTTAGTTTTCCATTTTAAGACATCTTGTACCTATCTGTTATCCAGTACCTATTTTAGGCAGCATTAATACTAGATGAAAAAATTGCAGCAAAGAAGCAGTAATGATACATGGCTGGTGTCTCAACTGCTAAAAATGTTGTGAGCTTTTTTATATCTGTTAGCTTGACAGTCATATGCACGAAATCTGTCTTGAAATTGTATTTTTGCTGAAGTGCTGCCTTTGGGAATGCAGTTCCTTTGTAAGAGTTGGTGAATTTCTAAATCCTTGTTGAATCACTTTGCCTCTGAAAATGGGATGTCTGTTATAATTTTGACAAAACTATTCTAGATTAATCTTTCCTTTCTAATAGGATGCTTTCTGTCTTGCACCTGGGGAGAGGCAGGGGCTTAGCTGTATTTTGGAGTACCTTTTTTGAATGGTACTTATGGATACTAAAGAAAACCAGTTGGAAAACAGTCAGAGTTTTCCTGAAATTTACTTTCCCTGTTCCTGATCTGAAAATGTTGCTGAATCCTTCCAAAGTCAGTTGTCCAATTCTGCTGATATCTTTCCATTTTCTTTCATACAGTACGTTCAGTTACCTGTATTTTACTAAAAAAAAAATAATAAAAATGGTTATGAGTACACAGAAAACTTTTATGTGCAAGCGACATGCATCACACGCACAAAGAGTTGGCATGTTTTGGGTTGTGTTCTTGGAGAAGAATTTCAGTTTGAGATCTGTTGTACTTGATGCTAAAATCATCCCCTCCACCCTCTTTGCAGGGACCACTTGCTGCCCCAGTGGATCCCCTTGCTGGCTGAGTGCCCGCCCATTACAAGGATGTACGAGGAGAACGCTCTCCTACGGGACCGCATGACTGTCAACTCCCTTATCCGAGTCCTACAGACATTGCAAGATTTCAACATCATCCTAGAAGGATCGCTCATTAAAGGAGTGGATGTTTAGCATGGCTTTGCTGAGAACTTCATTATTCCTTTCCCATGCAAGCAAACCACAATGGGAGACCTGTCAGGACTTGAACGTGATGGTAGTGCACCACTGTAAGGCAAAGCTGCCGGATGAAGCGGGAGTGGGAAGCCCAGTTTGTGCTCGATGGGAACTGTCCTCTAAAGCTGCAGAAAGCTAAGATGCAGTATTGTAGTTTATTTGAAACAGAAATTTAGTATAAAATAGAGTATTTTCATGTGTTAGATGTGTGTAAATATGCTATCTTCTGTAAGAAATTATATTACTCTAAGAAATTTTTCTTAGACTGAATGTTCTTGTTCCAACTATGAGTAGCTTAAATCCAGGGGAAGGACTGGGGGGAGGGAAGGACTGAGGTGGGAAGGGATGCGGCTACTTGCTTGCAAGGAAGAAGCCAATCAATATGTAAATACAGTGCAAACTCAGCAGGGCTTTTTTTCAGGTATTGCAGATTAATACAGCAAATATCCTTATGTAGCCATTGTGACTGTCTCATTCTTGGAAATGCTGTCAGCATATGCTGTTTACCCTACTGTACATGGTCTCCCTTCAGTTTTTTGTTTGTTCAAAGACTCTACCCTTTTCATGCACAGAATTTGTGAGTCATCATTTTGCCCTGCAAGGTCTTTTGTGTCCCTCCAAAACACAGAAGGAGGGGAGACAACTGTTGAAATGCTTAAACACTGGAAAGGAGGACTGCTGTCAGCCTCGGAGCCTGATGGTAGGAGACTCGCTTAAGCAGTGCTGCTACAGCCTGAGATGGGGAATGATGGCTTGCTTGACTCACCCAGCATGTCCCTTGCCTGTCTGATGATTCCCTCTTGCCAGCTTGTGTTGTGGATGACTTATTTTATTTTTTTCCACATCAAGGAATTTTGTTCATACAGAATTCTTGCTGTACTTGAGAAGAATCTTTGCTGTAGAGCCACAAACACCGATGCTGCTGGGCTGCTGAACTGTATCAGCAGGTTTTGAAGTGCTGACAGGTTACGAGTCTTCCTTTATCCCACAGAATGAGTGTTTCTAGGAAGTACAGGATTTTTTTAAAAAATTATTATTATTTTAAAATTCTCCAGCTACATAAAAATAGAAGCAAAAGGAGAGGAAAAAGAAGAAAAAAACTCTCACTTTTTTTTTTGCGGCTTCTCTCCTATACTCTTTCCAGTCGATGTGTTAGTAATACAGCGTGTTTATGCAGGTACAGCTCTTGAGGAGGAACTGGGAGCAACTGAAGTCCTGTAGACTAAAGATTTAACAACAGATTACATTAAAATCATCTTGTGGATACCACACAGCAAATACAGACTGTATTTTCTATTCTCATAGCTGGGAGTTGGAAGGATCTGAGGGCATAGTTAAAACTTCATCTGGTTTTAGTTTTTAGAGGTTAGTTTAAATATAGGTGTTTGCTTTCACTTGTTTATTCTCTATGATCCTAGCCATTTCATCAGTGGATTTCTATGGATGTCTCGCTGTCAGCTGGGGCTTGGGAAAGGGCCCCTACTTGGTACTGTAAGCACATTGCCTTGCACTGGGCTCTCAGGTGGCATTAGGAGGGACTTGGGAACAGTGGGCAGTAGCAGGTCTTGGTATAGTGTGCACGTGGAAGGATGAGAGGTAAGGGAAAGGAAAGAGGATGAAAATTAGGGTTTGCTTTCTCACCTGCCTTTTGCCAAGCTTCTCTACTTTCCTGCAGTCCTCCTGCTGTTCACTTCTTATAACAGCACACACTCGCTTTAGTGTCAAAGTTTCACATCATATTTCCAGCCAGAAGAAAAATCTTCATAAGATTTTCTTTCATTACAAGGGAGAGTTTTATGTTATAGAATGTTATTGGGGTTTTTTTTCCTAAGAAAGAAGTAAAATAAGACTGTCAGGGAGTCATTGACTTTAATGAGGGTTCCAGCTTTTAATAGCCATTCTTTTCTCCTGGGGTTGTACTTCCTTAAACTGACTGAACTCACCCCAAATCCTGTAGGCAAGCACTGCCATGTCACTGCTGCGGGTGTGAGTAACTAGCGGAAAGGCTGTGAAAGGTGTCATGAGTTAGTAGCCAGAGCCCACGGCTGTGTGACATCTCTCTCACATTTCCAGAAATGTGAAATTTGGGGTGTTAGGGTTTTCTGCGTGGCCAAACAAATTGCCTAAAGTCAGCAGAAGATGTGTGGCAGCCCTTCAGCAGCAATTGAAAATGCATCCCTAGTACTTTATCAGTAAATTATATATTTAGCACCAGAAACCATGTGGCAGCATTATTTGGTAATGACTGCTTAGGATGTTTTGATTTCTATTACATCTCAAGCCTTTTATGTCTAATGACTGCTAAACATGATTTTTTTCACGCCCAACCCAGTCTAAGTGACTTTAATTTTACTAAAATAACAACCTCTTTAGTCCTTGGATTTCTTCATGGCACCATCTGCATTTGCTAGCTGGATTCTTCTCAAAAGTATACTGCTGCATACTTCTCCAAAGACTATTTATGACTTAAGCAGTCATAACATTCATCCAACGTGACATGGGTTAAGTGCAAGCAGGATAAAGTAGGAATGTGGGCACCTCTAAAGGTCAAGCATAGATGAATAAACCACACACAGAGAAAAGGGCAATAACTACATGAAGTCTTTCTTAAGTTAAAATAAGTCAAAACCTGAGAAATTTAAAAATTAAAAACAGGGCCTTCCCCTTTTTCAAACTACATTAAGGAACGTTTAGCACTTAATTTTAATACAACTTCACATCAGCCTTTTCAGCAAGTGTTGACTTGTTTGGTTTTGTCGGGTTTCACATAATAATAATACTACAATAATACTTATGTATGTCTAATATTTCCTTGTAGGCAATAAAGCACCCTAAGATATGCTGAAAGGGGCACAGCTGAGTGCCTCAGAGTCCTGGAAGACTTGTTATTTGACAGCCTTGGGAGTACGGTTCTTTGTAGTGAATTTCTATCCTACCATGGTTTTGCTTTCTTTTCTTTTTTAGTAGACTACTTTTGTTTATTGGCAACTGTGAGGTTTTTTTCTGTAAGGTTTACAGAAATCATTCTACCCACTAGGATGGTGAGAAACCCATCAGGATTCTTCTAAGCTAACACAGCTTTTTACTTCAGTGTTAAAGCACCTTCATTGGTTGAGAAAGGGAATCTTGGAAAAGACCAAAGCTCTTTGGTATCTGCTTTCTTAAAAAAAAAATCCTATCTGCGGGTGTCTGGGTTTGCATAGTCCTGTTATACTAACATCCAGCATGGTAACCTGTGGGAGTCAGAGAATCAAATGCCTCACTATTGTACAAAATGTGTATTTATAATTCTCTGAAATGGATGAGATTCTACCGTGTAGTGAAAAATCTACTCACGTTTATTCCGAGTTGGTTTGTGTAATTAGATATCCTTGTTCAAAAACGTCTGTTTAGAATAGTTGCACGATGGCATATTTGAGAAAATTCCTTCTTTCAATCAAATGAAGGTGTGCATCTTAAGGGGAAATTTTGTATGTTACACTTGAAATGTACAAGTGTGCCCTGTATAGCTTAAAATGATCCTTAAATGTCTCCATTAAGTATATTTTGTCTTTTCATTATTACTAACTGAATAAGAACTGGATTATTTTCAAGACAACATTAGTACAAGTATTGTTATATCAAGCACTTTAACATACATATCACAAACTGACATGGGTTTTTCAGGTTTTGAAGTACATTGAAATACAGCTTTTCATGCTATGTCCTTTACAAATAAAACTGTGAGAATAATGCTCGGTGTCACTTTCTCCTTGAAAGATTCATGTCTCAAGCTGAACCTGGAGGGCACGTTTCGAGTCGAGCAAAATGATTCGGTCAATAGTGACTCCTGGTACAGGGAAGCTGCTGAAGCAAAGAGGTGGAAAGAGAGTGTGGGGGTCAGCTCTCAAAAACCTGCCCCTCTGCCTCCCCTGACACAAAAGTCTGAGTGTGCCAAGCCTGCCCAGCTCTTCGTTTTCAAGGCTTAGTTGGGAAGTGTGGCTGATCGAAGGGAAGAAATGGGATCATGGTGAAGTTCAGCTCTTAGCTGGGTGGCGTTTGCAGCCTGGGGTGCTCTCACGTAGTACCTGGAGTGCGTGGGGAGAAGGCGAAGTGGGATCCTGTTGGCAGCAAATTGGGAAGCGTAGGATTAACCACAGCTGAGGGTCTCTCTCCTCTCGTCACGTGGGTTGCTCTGATATTTAAACTTGGGGTTAAACAGCTGGAATGGAGCTCATGCTCTCATCTGCCAGTTAGCATGTCCCATAGGAAGAGAGGTTGGTAGAGGAGAGAGAGAAATGGGTGCTAGCAACAAAAAAGCACAAAAGATTGATAGCAAAATGCCCTGCTTAGTAATTAAAGACTTTTCTTTGGACTGAAGTTGGACTGGATTTTTCAGAAATTCCCTCCCAGCTCTAGCTCTACTTGAATTGGCAAAAATACGAGAACTTTTGAAAAGTGCATAGTTGACATGTAGTTCCCTGCATGTCTGTGTGCATGGTGTATGTGAGGTGGGGCACATGGGTTCATTCATTTTAACTCTTCATTTTAAAAAGGTAGAGAATCTCAGGAGAGGACTGAAAGTCTCAGAACCTGGGACTGCATATGTGAAAATCCTCAAATACATCATTTGATGATACTGATGTTTTATCAACAATGTAGCAGCAACATTATAAAATCCCATAAATGTGAATAAAATCCATAGAGCTGCCTGTGGTCAAATTTCAGTAAGAGGAGTGGCCATACTTAATGCACCTCCTTACTAAATGTGTTAGGCTTAAGTATGTAAATTGGAGAGAGTGGGATCTGACATCTTGAAGGCAGTAGGTATTTGAAGTAAAGCAGGACTAAACTTGTCCAGATGAGGAAGTGCGAATAACTTCCTCTCCACTGCGCTGTCATTGATGCGGTCTGGGAGTGCTACAATATTTTCTGCAAAGGGCAAGTAGAAGAAAAGTAGAAAACTTGCATGGGTAAGAGTTGAAATAGCTCACTGATCTGGTTTATTCCTTTCCAGGATTTCAGGTGAGGTTGTTGGAATAAATTGTGCTCAAGAGCAAAGTTGCGTCCCTGTCTGTCTCCCCATCAGCTCAGAGGTTAAGGCTCCTGTCATTGCACCCAGGGAATATTTCATTGCTGACACTCCTATTTTCTCTCCTGCTATTCCATCACACGGGTATCATTATAAGCTGGTTTGAGCTCAGCACAGGATGCGAAGGGAATGAGAAAATTTCTGTGCAGATCTGCTATCCAGAGGCTGGTTAAGGTAAACTGTCTGCTAAAGCCACTACAAAGCTAGTTTGTCAGAGAAAAGCTGTAGTTCTGTGGGAAAGCTTGACACTTTAATGGGCCCATCTGTATTCCCTGCAGACCTCACAGGGCACCTCAGCTCCTCTGAAAGAACTTCTTCTGTCAGAAGAGGATGTGACCAGACAAATTATTTTCTTCTTTAACCAAGCCCACCTTTGTCTCAAAGGGAAAAAACCCATCAAACAAACAAAAAAGCACAACCCTGTTCCCGAGCC